AAGGCTGATTCCTATTTCTACTGTTAATGCATTTATTTTACTGTTTATGTATTTATCTTTTATTGCGGTAACAAAGATTTTAGGCGGCTGTTTTTATCTCTTCTGCCCATTTTTATTTTCCCCTCCAAGTTCAGACTAAATGTATGTATTGTAAATTACAGCAAATATATATTCTTGAAAATGAAAGTAACGCATTTCTTAAGCATGCTTAATATATTTATAGTAAATTACTCGGCAATTTAGAAAATATTACTGATATGTTAGAAAAAGGTTTTCAGTACTATAAATTCTAGTTTAAAATTATTTTTTTTGGTTATGTTTCTGATAAAATATTTTGTTTGTGACTCTGAAAAACTATGTACTGAAAATACTATTAAACAAATTTCGTAAATAAAGTGACTTGTATAGGATTGCTCATTGTATTTCTTTTGAAGCAAAGACAAAGCTGTCAAATCTCTACATTGATTTTAACTTGCTTTTGTTTGCATTAAGTATGGGCAGAAAACTGGGAACTGGCGATATCTGAATTATGCATTTTAACTGTAATTTAAAAGTGGTAAAATAAACTTTTTGATAATAATCTTATTCTTAAAAAACTGATTGCATATATTTAATGATTATTGAGGAACTCCAAAATTTTATCAAAACTTTCATATCTATTAATTATAAGCACATAGAATAGTTTTTGTACTATGAAATCTGTTTATGTAAAAAGCTTTGACTCCTCATAATTACTAAACTTATTTGTTAAGTAGAACAAGTATATGGGAAATTTATATGTGTGCTGGGAATATTTTGAGAGAGCAAATGAGGATCATATCTTAATGAAAGATGGTAGAGAGCATAGATTTATACCAAAATAATGACATATGTATATACTACAGTACAAAGTCCGAGACCTGAACATTGAATATCCGGAATGATATAAAATCTGGACGTCAATGCCAGCAACAACTTTTTAAAAATTTTATTTATTTTTTGTATGCTTTACGGATTCCACCCCTACGCTTAATAAAATACATGGAGAGTCCCGATTCAATTTGTAGTTTCACTTCGACACTAAATAAAATAACTCTTTATTGAAGAAACAATCATTTTAGCATAAATTTGTATGATTGATAATTTGGATTCTAACCTAAACATTCTACATAGAATACATCTTTAATTTTAAACCTACTAATATTTTATACTTTTGAGGCCAACATGACGAATCATTACTATATTTTGCTTTCATCACTGCATATTTATCAACACATGATAACTTGAGTATTGGCTTATGTAACAGTGCCTAAACAATTTTTTATGTTAGTAATTGAATAATAGAGTATGGTAACCTTTTAGGTTGACATTACGCTTGGCAATGAATGCAGATTTGCAAGAAATGTTGACTAGGAAAAATTTAACAAAAATTTCTTTCCACATTTTCTTAAATTAAGAATAATTGATTTGTTATTCACATAAACCCAGCGAGAGGGCTCATGGCTGCAATGGGCAGTAGAATTTTTAGAACCCAGAAACTGCATCAGGCGACAAGATATCTAGTGCCGTCCCTCAATAAGCCTTAAGTATATGTGGGAATTTATTTATTCAGGACTCGGATAAGCCTTAAGCATGTGCAAGAAATAGGCATAAGTATAATAAGTAACTAAACAAATGCAAATCAGGCTTAATTGTCTTGGAGCGCAATAGAAACAAGTTAAAATTTAGCGAAGCAACTTATGTTTAGTCGCCAATCTCGTGATACATAGCCAAATGTGTACAGTGAACTAAAGCTAAATTTTATGATCATAGCTGCGAATTTTAATAGTTTTCGGATATCGCAAACTTAAGGTAAAATTTTCAAATTGAAGGATTTTGTAAAGAAATGTGCAGAAGTGGTGTAATAAAGGAAGATGATATAAAAGAAGCTTTTCATTGAGATAACAATGCTTCTCAATTATTTATCAATTAATGGATTGCAAAATCTGTAGTATGGTTCTAGATCCAGAAAATACCGCTACTGATAATAAAAAAAGTGACAGATTTTTCTGAAAACGAAAATATTTCAATTGACAATTTAGTCAGAATTCTCGATGCAACAGTTACAGGACTTCAGCAATGTAACTGAATAAAAAATTATGTCTGTCTGCAGAATTAAAGGTAAAGTATTATCACAAAAAAGAAGCAACTTAAACAACTTAATTGAAAGAAATGTTTAATGAAGTAAACAAATAAATATCAAGCCTTTTTTTGTGTGTGTGTGCGTGTAAATTTTAATACTCGTTTTTCTTAATTTTGAAGCATTTATGATTTTGATCATAAATGCTTCATTATTTCATAAATTATGATTTCATCTTTTTAATTTTATAATTTCTACAGATTTAAACTAGATATCCATAAAAATCCCAAATTTTTAATCGTCGAACTCCCAACGAGTCCGGATCTCAAACTTTATACTGTATATATATATACACGCATGCATATATATCACACTGATAATCAAAAATTAAAAGATAATGTCAGAAATAAAATGTAGCTGATACTTAAGGAAAAGCTATTAATAGAAATTTGTACAAAAGCATTATTTAACATAAATTAGTGTTTGGCAGTTGATTATTCACAAAATATTGAAAATGAAACCAAATTTATGGAAATTGGAAAATGATGGAAGAATTAAGTCACCTTCTGGAAGGAAATTTTTTAATTTGGTGTATAGTCACCTTCGCACAGATATGGATACCTCACATCATGATTTCACGAACTTTACCAAAGTATTCATTAAGTCTTTGCAGTTTCTGGACGGTCTTGGAAGGAATTTAGGGTTCTGAAATTTTGTGTACTGTAGCATTTCACACATGCACAATCTGCTGAGTAAAGCTGCGTTCAGACGGGGGCGTAAAGGGCATAAGTGTTTAAAGCCGAGCTCCGTTGCCAAGGCTACCAGTCTGTGCTACGTCACAAAATCTAGTTTAGGGCTCGTGGCATAAGGTATCAAAGTTTTTGCCGAGTTTGGGATAAGCGTCAAACAATCACAGCAAACCTAAAATGAAGCAGCGATCTACAGAAGATTTTGCGGTTACAAAACAAGCAGAGTGAACGCGGAAATCAATCGAGCAGGAAAACAGTGCGGGAAAGTTGTAGACACACCCATGCATGCGCAAACTTAGCTTCTCTCATTGGTCACGGCTTACACCCCGTTATCGCAGGTGTGAACGGTAGTCCCGTATTTTATGCCCTTTACGCCGCCGTCTGAATGCAGCCTAAGGTTACCAATTCATTTGAATGATATCTTCTGTTAGCAAGTATTCTGACATCTCATATGCTCGATGAGGCCAAGCATTATCATCCATTAGCAAAAACTCTGAGCCATCAGTACCCATAAACAGTAACTTAGGGTTCCATTACCTCATCCACATATCTCCGAGCAGTTACAGAACCCTCTTGAAAGATGTGCTGCTCAGTGTGGCTATTTGTTATGATTCTTCCCCAAACCATTAAACCATGGTCGCAAGAACAGGTTATTTCAAGGAAAAGGGAAGGCAAGTTGTGTGCTCCTTCCTTTTTCCAGATAAATTCATCTAGAATCACTGTTCAGACTATATCTGGACTTGTCATTAAATAATACTTGGTCCCGGTTGTCTTAGCTGTATTGAACATGATAAAGGCACCAGTTTAAATGGGCCCGTCTGGAAGCTGGAGTGACAAGGACACAAACCATTGGTTTTCTCACATAGAGTCCAACGTTGTTCAGTAGAAGAATATCTAATTCGAGTTTGCATGGCAGTCTGAAGGTCTAAAACCATCTCTCTTGTAGTCGCTTCACAGTTTCTCCGAGCCGACTGCAGAAAACAGTCTTCTTATGCAGTTTTTACTCTTGGTTGCCCTTGAACAAACTAGTGTATCAACTGATCGAGTGTTTAAAGCATCTCCAAACTCATATACAAATCTTGGACGACCTCCATTTATGTTTGACTTCCCTCGATTATGCCAATTATTTGCCACTTTTGACCTTCTCTTAAATGCCTTTGAGCCATGACTTAAATATTGATCTCTGTCAAAAACTAGATTCACTTTAAACAACACTACAGACCGCAATCCCAACATGCACCCACTGCACGTCACATGTCGGTCACCAAATTTGCATATTTCCGGTACTAACCTTTTTTGTGTTCAGATTTATTTAATTAACATAAATAATTCCTGTATTGGACACTGGTTGAAACATTAACTAAGAGTATATTTTTATCTTTTATTTAACTATAAAATTAAAGATGAGAGCTTCAAAACAGAGCTTAATATTATTGGTAATTAGCTTTAGTCGGATATAAATTTGAAACTTTAATATATCTGTTATTGTATAGGAAAGCTATACATAATGCATATAATTTTCCTAAGTAATTTTTAATGAATAGTTAGAAAGAAATTCCTATTCTGCATGCACACTTCTTTGAAATTTTGCTGTAAAATTTGAAGTAATAAAACTGATGTGGGCAGTGTAAAAGTATAAAGTACAGTAGACAAAATAGAAGTTGTGGGTTTATTGATAAGAAATTTTATGAGTGGTAGATCTGAAATGAATTATAATTTGGTCATTAATTGTACTTAAAATTTATTAAATAAAAATTTTGGTTTCTGTTGTCAGGACTGAATCCAGAAATGTATGCGAGTGTGTACATACATATATATGCACATACACATACATACATTTCTGAATTTGGTCCCAATAACAGAACAGTGTCAAAATTGTTTTTAACTAACTTTTAATGCATTTGTTTTTAGTGTAACTGTTTCTGTGAAAATCATCAGCAGAAATAATTTTACTTTAAACTATTATCACTTTTCCTATTTCATCATCCTATAATAATTATCACTCTAGCAGTTTTATTATAAATTTTTATATACTTAAGTAAAAGCAATGATTTCTGCAACTCTTTGAGATGATCAGTATATGCAGTTTTAGTACATTATTTAGGTTTTTATGTGTGGAATTTTTGTAATCTGTGTAATTATAGTTTTTAAATCATTCATATAGTTTTAATTGTTCTGAATTTTGTAAATTTTTATTAGCTATGCTGTATTTATATTCTATTACGATCAATTTACTGACTGCCTTTTATCCTTCTTTAGTAATCAAGTAATGCATTTTTTGGATGCGAGGAACTTTTTATCAAGGTTAGTACTTTCAATACTCTTAGTAATTCATATTAGAAAAATTAAAATAGGGGCATTTTTATAAATGTTTTCATTCAGTTAATAAATGAGACACTTCTTTCAGAACTGCTGTATAACAATGTTCTGTTTTGAAGATGCTGGTAATGTTAATGCAAGTAGACCACTGCTCACCAAGATAAATCTTCACAACAGTGTCCCAGAATAAAAATGTGTGCCAAGTTTTTAATTTGAAAAAAAGAAATTTTCTGTTTTGAAGATGCTGGTATTTTTAATGCAAGTAGACCACTGCTCACCAAGATAAATCTTCACAACAGTGTCCCAGAATAAAAATGTGCTAAGTTTTTAATTTGGAAAAAGTAATCTTTAAATCCTGACATTTCTGTGGAGCACTGCTATGCAAGTATGGTTTTAGTTCACTGCTATGGTTAATAAAGGAAAGGAATGCATTTTCATAAAGATGTCCCAGCATAAAAGTTCCTACATATTTAAGAAGCATGCCTGCTTCTAGGTTGAAAACGTATCCTTGTGAGGAGGCTGGTTTTTTTCGAGCAACCTTGAGGAAATAACAAATAGTGTTGTCTAGTTGCTCGTTTGACAAATAGCACTGTACCTCTATGAAGGTGTCCTTTTCGTTTTATGCAGAGAAAGTTATATGTATGAATATGTAGCAATAAAATATAAGAGCGAGTTTATTGAATTTGATTGAGTTTTATTAAGTCCAAAGCAAATTTTAATGCCCATCAGTATAGGCATAGAATCTCTTAACTGTCAGTGATGGGCCCTCATCAAGTCCAGATGAGATTTTTTTGGATAACTAAATATTTCTAGAACTTATTTTGTTCGTATTTTCTGATGCCATCTGTAGGAATTGCAGCATGTAAAACACATCGGTTGTGTTTTTTGATATTCATTTAAATAATTCCAAATTCATAGAGATTATTTAAAATTAAATGATTTTATATTTCAGAAAAATAAAAGTAGACATTTTAAAATTATCGTATATATTATCACATGAAATTATGAATTTCTTTGTATGATGAGATATAACTTGAATGTCTGCTTGCTTAGAAATTTGTCAGCAGAGTTTTAAAAATTTGCTGTGTGTGCATTTAAACTTACTTCACGTACTGACATAAACATTTCTTGAAAAATCATATGGAAGTCTGCAGATTTCTGTCAGCTTTTTTCCATGTAATTTGCATGTTCTGCATTTCGTTCCTCCTCATCTTCTTTCTCCTTTCTCAGCACATATCTTATTATTTTGTTGTCATTTATTTTGAGAGAGTGAAAGGTACAGACTTGTTTAGATCCATCCGTTCATCCTCATCGAACACTGATCTTCTCCGAACATGTTACTGAACTCAGGATGTCTGACACAAAAGTCGAGCATGTTTTAAAATGCAGAGAATCATTTTCATCTACAGCCAGGATTGTTTTATGTCATCAGTAACATAACATTTACATCTTCTAAGACAAAAGACAAAATATGTTATCTTCCAATGTGAACTGTTTAGTAAAGTCATGGATACTTCTTTCAGATTTCATATCATTAAAGCATAAAATGGGGTTAATAGTTTATAATCTGGGTAATTCATTGGTTGGATAAGGCTTGTTGCATTGGATGGCAGAAACAAAAAACACAGGTATTTTCTAGTCTGTAGATTCAAGCCCTTTACATGGGTTTTGTCCCTCAAATCTAAATTTCAAATTTAGACTTTCAAAAGTGTTATTTTTATTTTGCCAGTTAATTGGATGCTGGTTACAAGGGATTTTACTTTATATGTATTTACTCACTTGTGTTTCATATGTAAACACATCACCGTGAGTTGGATGAATTCTTATTGTTAATTGTATATGGTATAGTCAAGAACTTGCTGGTGCCAATAAACTTGGTAGCTGTTTTAATAGTTTCGTTCCCCCCTCCATCTTATCACTCCTTCAAATATAAGAACTTCTGATTTTTTTTTTTGTTTTATAAAGCTGTTGTTATTGACTTATGAAGCTTTTGGAATTTAAATTTAGTAATTTTCAATTTATTTAATGGAATAATTTTCATTTAGGTATTCTTATTTATTTATTATAGCTGAATGACTCATAAAAGTAGCACTTATAAGGACCACTCATGCTTTTGTTTTGTAGAGTTAAAAAGAATTAAATTTTAATAGAATAAAAAAATGAAGGTGTTATTAAATTAATAGTCATTTTGGTTTATATATTCCTAATTGTAAGTATTGACCCTTTCTTTTGAATGAAAGAAGTTTAGAAAAATATAAGTGATTCATGTATTTTTTAATTCATATTTATCGATTGATGTTCATTTTTATGTTGCTTTTGATTATTGATTTTAATTGAAGATTATAAATCATTAAGAAGATTTTTCAAAGTGTTTTTCTTCTCTTTCCAGTCAAGACCCTCAGGGGAAGAAAATTAGTATTCAGCACTGTGTCTGTGGCCTGCGTCCATTGTTCCTCTGCTAAAACATTTCTTATGACTAAAAGAATAATAACAAGCCTCTTACAATGCCACATAGTTAATTGTCATTTACTGTGACTTACTCATTCTAGTTCCTTGAAATCTTCAGTAGCTCCCTGCTTCTCTGTATCATCACCTCCAGCTAACCTTATGCGCCTGCTCTTCTCTTTAGAAAGTTAATTCTATGGCACTCCCCAATGTGGAAGAAATTGAGTTTATCAAAATTAAGTGGAACAGCTGTTACAGATTCGTATATTTTGTGGATGCCTTTGAAGTTTCTTCTGTGTCTGCAGACGAGTCCTTACTCCGGTGCATATATACTCATGACATTGAACATAACAGCTCTTCGCACGTCAAACTTCGCATTATTTGTTGATCAGCACCAAAAGAAAAAACTCCAATTAGATTCAATGATGAGCGGACTTCAGTGTGGACCTAGTTGTACTCCCAAACTATTCATTAAAAAAAATAAATAAAACTTTTAAAAGATTGAAAACTTTAAAAAATTGATAAAAAACTGAAATAAATATCGCTGGCGGTCTAATTAAACAGATTGAATGGGGGAATGACCGTCCATGACGATTGGACTTGTTTTATTACAATTTTGCTGCTCGAGTGAACTCTTCTTTCTGACCAATCTGACTGGAATTTGAAATGCCTCTCTTCCATTGACCATAACAGTGGAATTTCAGACGTTGTTTTAGTGTCTTGCCTCGCAATAGGTTAATCCATCTTTATTCTGAGAATAAATCTTTCACTTGTCCCCCTTTCAAATGAATTTGCCTCAAAAGAATGATTCCACTGGGGAAAATAATGTGATTAATAAAAAGTGCAATCATGGATCATTTTTCAAATAGCAAGAGGGCATGGCAAAAGCACCGTCTAGGCAAGTGCCTGTTATCATTTTTGTTAAGTGAACTTCCTAGTGACTATGTAATAAAATTTATAAATTACTACAAAATAGAACAATCTTAGCATATTGAAAATATAGTAATTTAAATTTTTTTGGCTTATATAAAATTTTTATTTGAGAATGCGTTTTTATCCAAAAATGTGCTGAATATGTTGTTTTTGTAGGTCTTGCAAGTATTTTTGTCCAAATTAAATATTTCAGAATTTATCTGCTGGCAATAGATCTTTTGCTTTAATATATATATATATGTATTCTATGTATATCATGTGTATAACAAAAGAGTTCATAAATTGTATGTATAGTTACTTGAAAAAAAAAAGTAATGCATTCTAAGAAAATATTAATGTTATGAATTGTTTTCCCAATGTGTGATAACTGAATTTTTCTGATCATTGTCCAGTTGAAATTTCAAATTTTCTTTCCGAGTTCCTCACATTCATTAATAGTAGTATAATAAGAATGTCTAATTCTGATATGTTATAATATGTAGTATGTAAAATATTGCTGTAACATTTTCTTATGCGTAAGAGATATTTGATTTTTGGCCATAGAACTTGATATATTTTTTGATTGAAATACTAGTGTCTTTCAGAAGGGTATCTAATTAATAAATATGGAAATAAAGGAAATATATGAGGATAAATTAAGTCTTACAGATTGATGTTACTTTTAAGTTTAAAAGGTATATAAAACTAATTCAAACATTCATGTGTTCAAGTTATTTTAACAATTCAGTACTCTTTGAGGAGAGTACAATACATGACGCAGTGTCAAATCTCCCATTTATGCATAATTCTTAATCCATGTATATTTTTGATTTTATTTGGTGCCTTGAATTTTAGATATTTAAAATTGCAACTTTGATTGTTAGACATTTGAAATTAATTATCACAAGTAGGAAACTGATTGGAAAAATGTAGTTTTGCTGTGTTATGCATTTTACTAATATTTATATTGATAATATCCATATAATTGTCATGTTGTGCATATATAAATACTGGTTTTGCTTATTTATCTTTTGCAATGTATTCTGGGTCTATTTAAATTAGTGCTAATTTGTTAAAGTAAAGAATAATGAAAAAGTAAGATAGGCTTGTCTCTAAACTTTAGTTTTTAATTCTTAATCTTGGTGTTATTTGCATAATTTGAATGTTTAATTTTATATTTAACTAAATATTTTACAATAAAGTTATCAAAATTGATTTTATTGTATGTAATTTTTGTTTTATGTGCCTATGCCATGCCAGTATGTTAACTTCATCAGAAAGATTCCTTCCCTTTTTCCTTTCATCCATTTGACTTCTGCCAAGTTAATAAATGGCACTTAGCATACATAATATTTGGGTAAAAGAAATGATGGTATGGAAATAAAATTTGATTAGCAGTGTTTGAATCTCTTTTTGAATTCCTGTATAAATAACTAAATTACTATACAAACTCTTTCACTATGTACACATTTGCTGTATTTTAAAGATTTTAGAACAAAAACTTTATTAACAGAAAGGGTTGAGCCCTAAATTTTCTTAAAATAAACTTTTTGGAATGAAATATGAAGTACGCAAATGAAACTCTTGGAGTTTGAGGCTAATTTTTGCATTTTTTGGAATCATTTTAATCAAAATGAACAGATAGCATAAACCAACATTGATAAACACTAAATATGGAATGCTAAATTTTAATTCTGTCCTGAAAATTTAGATTTCTCTTTAAAATAACCAAAACATGATAGTGATGATCTGTATCAGGAGAAATTCTAACATGCATTACGAAATGCTGAATTCTCTCTAGGGAACTGATATTTGAGGTTGTCTAAGAGGATACTGGTGATTCAGGTTACTGAAATTCTGATTGTTGGATTCTTTTTAATGATTGCATCTAATAGAATTCAAAACTAATGTATCCGAAGTTAAAATGCTTAACATCTATTTAAATTACATTCAAAAAAGATTTGAATAATGAAAAAAGTTCAGAAATACTATGATTCAAATGTTGCATCTGTGATATTTGTTATTAATTTTATTCATTTTTAAACAGAATATGCTTCTTATAAAGTTGGAAGTAATAAAAGCTTTTAATACTATTTAAGATACAGCATGTATCTAGTAGATTTGTAACAATACTTTTTTAAATACAAATCCTAATATGCAGAGATTAAATCGTGAACAGTATCAAGATTCAGGATTATTTTTACTTCATTTTCTAAGCTGATTATAGCTATTTAAACATGTTGCCATTACTTTAGAAAAAAGAAAAATTTATAACTCGTGTTGAAATCTGCCATAAACAGATCTGTGTCTAACAGTATCCCTGTTTCTGAATTAGTGTGGCATTGTCCAAGCTTTTGGCAAACAAGCGTGCCGAAACATGCATGTTTTAAAATTCCTGTTTTTAAATATATGATCTCATTTTTCACCAAAAGGAATATTTTCTGGAAGCAAAAACAGCTGTAGATTATAACCCGCTGAGCTTTATAATATTTAAATATATATACATTTTAAATAGTATTCTGCTCTCAGGAATTTAGTCTTGCATTAGGAGGCGCTCTAACATAATATGGTGCATTACATTGCTATTCAAAATTTTTGAACTAAGCAGTTTTGGGGAACATTAATATTTTTTAATGGAAAAGAAGAGTCTGGTAATGTAACTATGTAAAATGGATGTTATATGATGGCATAGGAGGGATTCTATCACAGAGAGTATTATTATACTTTCCAAGCTGTAAACCCAAATTTTAAAATGATATGGTAGGGAAAGCATTGTTCCAAAGAGTGTAATAGGGTATAATAAGACACGTAAAATGTAACAGCATTGATTCATTTACTGAAAGCTTTCTTTGGAGTTATGTGTAGTTTTATTTGTCTGAGCATTCTTTATTAGGAGAAAAATGATGAAATATTGCTACTTTCTCGTGAGTTTGCTACTGTAAATAATTTAACTTGCTTGCATTTGCTTAATATGGTTTTAACTTAAATGTATGGTATTTTAATGAATCAAAATATTTTTCACTCTGTTAATATTTTCATAGTATATTTTGTAATTCAAATTTCAGTAAGCAATGATTTCCAGAGTATAACAGAGGTAAAATGTTCACAATAGAGTACTATAATGAAGTGTGGACATGTTACTGCCTTCAGTGTTTTCTCATGTGTGCAGTTTTCACATAGGTGCACTTGCAAAACACCAGGACTATACATGCAAACAAAATTTACTTTAAAGACCGTATAATTTTTAGTAAAAAATGTTGGTGATTCTGTTCAAATTTTGGAGCTTTTTTCATATAGTTTCTGGTGAAACAGTGGAGCATGTGGATTCTTTGTTTTGTATAATGTTTTCTTATTCTGTTTAGCCCAAAAGGTTGTGTGAGGAGGATTTAAGCAGCTCTTCTGTTTATTTATAAAGTGGTTTCTTTGAGAAAAGAAAAATAGTTTGCTTTTTGCAAGCATTACAAAATGGCTTATTTGCGTTATCTTCTGATTGTTCAGATTAATATGAGTGCAATAACTGAAATGATTTCAGCATTGTGTGCGAGACTCAATAATAAAGCCAATTTATCCACTTTTGACATACTGAATGTATTTGTGCAGAAAGTACAAGGATTTACGTGTGTATTGTCCATTACCAAAAAAAGTTCACCCATTAAGAATTAGCTACAGGAAAACATATGATGAAGTTGACCTTTTTATGCCAGACACAGTAAAAAAAAAAAAATCAAAAAATTTTTTTTTTTTTTTTTTTTTTTTTTTTTTTTACAAAACGTTAATGTGTCTTTTATATGGTGTAGCCTTCAATTTATGTTGGATTCTTTCCTTCCAACGTTGGGAATGCTGAAGTGTCGCAATCAGGGCTTCATTTCTAAAAGTAGACGTGCTGTAGCCCAACTGTAATTAAACTTAAGGAGATAAAATTTAATAAGCGATTTTTTAATGTAATTTTATTGCTAAAAATTAAATTTTCTAGATCAAATTTCTACTGAAATAATTGTTCAGTTACACAAAAAAAGTGCTGAGCCTTCTTATTTAGGGCTTCGGCTTGAATTAGAATACGTCTCAAAAACTAAGGAGTGCTGGAAATTTCAGCTCTGGTCGCAATTATTGTTCAGTTAAGTGTTATTGATAGCCCTCTTCAGAGGTCAGCATCAAGATCCATTGGCTGTGGGTACCAGTTATGCATCTGAAGCCCAGCTTATGTGCAACAGATAACACTAACAGTACGAATGTGTACATGTGTGGGCCAAAAAAGAATTGGAGAACAGTAGCCATCCATGTTCCATATCATCTGGTGTACTTAGCAGTTGGTTCCAGGCAGATCCTGTAGGTAATAATAAAAGGCTCCTTTGCTTCACAAATTTAATGGGGGCATGGTGGAAATGCATATCAGATATGAGAAAGACTGAAATGGGAAAACATTGCATATGATCTATGTTAGAGGTCCATGGTTATGCATGATGGTGAATTTTTTGATGTGGCATTGTGAAAGCAAAATGTAAAATTCCATCTGTCCTTCCACATCATTATATGAACATTGCTTTTGTGCACCTTTAAATAACTCTTTGTTTCTGTACATTATAGTAAATTATATGCATGGAGACTGCTTATTGTGCAACATCTGTGAATTTTCGATTTAGAATTGGTGTCAGAATTATGCTTAAGAAATTGGAGATTCTCAGTAATGTACCAGAAGCATCCTTAATGGATGAATTCACTTTTGGTCATTAAGTACTGAATTTTCTTTTTTAAGTAGTTAAAAAATTTCTATTTTAAAAGTGTTTTTGAATTGTTGCATGTCGTAGATATATGGTAGTCCATTGTTCAACATATGCTTCCTCTCTGAAAGTTTTAATTGGTTTTACTGACTGCTCAACTCTTATACCAAGTTGGCATAAAGTTGGAAAGTTTGAACTTTATGCCAAAATCCCTAAACCTGTTTTTGTGATGTACCATAGTTTGGTTATAGTTCGGCCGCCTCATTCGCGACCATGAGGACTGTTTACCCCATTTGGACCAAATTATTTTCAAAATAACAGATGGGGACTTTCCCTCGAGCATATGAATTCTCCATTCCGAACAAGAGAAGACTTTCACGCCATAGCAAGTAATAATGTCCCTTTTAGACAAGTCTATGTGTTATGGCAAAATACTAGGTAAAGATGTGTTTGAGACGGTCGAGCTATAGCAACGAAGCTCTGCTTATACCAGTTATGACATTTATGTCACTGTCTGAATGCATCCTAATGAAGTGGGTTTTTCATCTTCTTGGGGAGACCGCTGATAGGAAAGGTGGTCCTGAGTACATTTCTCACATCGAAAGCAGTTGTAGCTCATCTGGCCTTGTCCAGGTCTCTGACAATGGAAGCCTTGTGCAGGGTACATCTGGTAAAAGGTACAGTTGTAACTCTGTATGGAATAAGAACTTCAAGCCGAATATTTTCTTACTTTCATCAGTCCTTCGCATGTGTATAAAATATACAGGTAACCCGATATTTTCTTTTCTCACAAACTTCTTTACTTTTTCAACAGGAATTTTCTTCATCGTTATTTCTTCCTATATTTAATGCTTTGTAAAATCAGAGTCATTTCTATCTTAATAGGTGTTTCTTTTTGGGAGTAGAAAGTGTTGAATTGGTTATTATTATCCCAAAGGGAAGTTCATGACATTGAATTGAGCATCTTAAAAATAATTTTTATATTATTCAGTCGAACAGTAATTTAAAAATGTTTTTAACTGCATCTATATTTTTGAAAGTGTAAATTATCTGTTATTTGATAATTTTGTTTTCATGCAAAATGCCACTTTTAAAGAAGCAAGGGATGGAAGGCTATGCTTGTGTCTTTCTGAGGAAAATTATTAAAAAGTGCTGTGAAAGTCATGATTTTTCTGTATCTAAAACAACGATAGATAATATCAATAAGAAAGGGAAAAAAACATGAGAGTTTGGCTTCAAGAGGAAACAATGTTCAAAATATATATCCAAGGAAATAACGGAATGTTGCAAAGGTAAGAACTTTAATGTTAAAAGAAAGTCAAAGAACTGTTGCATAATTTTTAAAATGCTCAGTGCCACCTGTAAACAAAGTGGTTAATGCTGATTTGAATATTAAAAAGGAGAAAAAAAATGTGCATCGTCTTTCTCCACGACATGTTGCAGAATTTTCCGTGAGAAACATTTAGTTGGACAGAAATGGAAAAATGTCACAATAGATAAATCTTGGGTATATTTAAATAACCACAATCAAACAGAATCCATTTATTGCCATCAAAGAGTAGAAAAAAATCTTAGACCAGAGTTCAAAGAATATAAAAATTTTTCATGGGGATTAATAATTGTTACTGGTTTTTGATGTAATGACAAATTAAAGCGTGCAGAAAGCTGTTAAGGTCAGCTCATTATTA